ATATATATATATTATGTTAATATGTTTAAAGATTTAAAAATAGTTTTTAATTTATGAAGTTTTAAAATAAACAGGCACTAAAATATTGACAATACCTCAATTTTACTGCCTTTTTGAAGTAGTATTTACAAAATTCCAAATTAGAAAAAGAAGTTTTCTCGGAAGTTTAGAAACCGACTCTTTTATTGATCAGTTATAGCAAAATCGTACAACACATATAAGTGCCATTCGTTACACACTTTTTATTTATTTATTTATTTATAAATGTAAACAAATTACTTCCTCTCTATAAAGAAAAAAAAGTTTTAAAATAAGTATTATGTTAATTTTTTAATATAATATTAATTATTATTTTTAATTTTTATCCCTTATAATTTTTTTAAAAAATGATTATTATATTGTATTGTTACCGATAAAGGAAAATAATTATAAGATTAATTTTGTAAAATTATTATTAATATTTATTTATTTATTAGCCTTTTTGATATGTATAACATAATCTAAGACGATAATTATTATGAGAGGGAGAGAATAAAATATAAGTTATTTTTTTGAATATTACTTTATAATTGACGCATTTATATTACTTCCAAATCAAGATTAAATTTAAAGGATTGTAGTAAGCATTAAAAAACATTTACAAGTCATCTTTGAGTCTTATTGATGAAGAAAAACATAGTTGGGAGATATGGTCTACTTAGGGATAACAAATAAATATGTACTCATGGTAATGTTCAAACCCATCCTGATTTTAACACATAATTTGTAGTATATACTTACTTACCCCAAACCTTTACTCATCTCTATCTTTGTCTCCACTTTAAATTTTTAAAACACTTACACTACACCCTTACATTTTTAAGGTTGATCCAACAAAGACACAAAGTAAACATTATTCTCTTCCTCTCCACACAGCCTTAATGGCATCAACTTGGTTGTTGATTTCTCTCTCTCTCTTTGATATGATGATGTTTTGCCTGAGGGGTGAGTCGCGCAAGCATGACCTCTTGGTTGGTCACAACCCACATGGTACACGACTTGGTGGGGTGAGTGTGGGAATGAGGGCTTGAGGGGTGGTTGGGATAAATTTGTGTTATTTATTTATTTATATATTTTGTTACAAAACATATTTAATTAATTTCTGGGTGGAAACAAGGCAAAGATATGTATACCTGATACTCGGTGGGACGCGAATAAGATACAAATTTTATACCCGTCGGATATCAAGAATAAAGATGAGAATGGATATATGATACAAACGCAAGGACATAAATATTAAAACTCGCACCTATTTTGTCTCGTTGTCATTTAGCTCTACTATCTAAAGGTGGGTAATCATATTTTCTAATAAAGAAAAAATATCAACAAATATTAAAGAATTGTAATAAGCATTAATAAACATTTACAAGTCATCTTTGAGTCTTATTGATGAATAAAAACATAGTTAGGAGAGATGGTCTATTTAGGGATAACAAATAAATATATACTCATGGTAATATTTGAACTCATCTTCATTTCAACGCATAATTTCTAGTTTGACTGGACACAAATATAAATACGAGTAATATTCGATTTATTAAATCATGGATTGAGACGAAATTGGTATATACTTATTTACCTCAAACCTTTACTCATCCTCATCTTTGTCCCTACTTCAAATTTTTAAAACACTTACATTACATCCTTACATTTTTAGGGTTGATACAATAAAGATGCAAATTAAACATTATTCTCTTCTTCTCCTCACGACCTTAATGGCGTCAACTTAGTTGTTGATTTCTCTCTCTCTCTCTCGCTCTCTCTCTCTCTCTCTCTGTCTCTCTCTCTCTCTCTCTCTCTCTCTCTCTCTCTCTCTCTCTCTCTCTCTCTCTCTCTCTCTCTCTCTCTCTCTCTCTCTCTCTCTCTCTCTCTCTCTCTCTCTCTCTCTCTCTCTCTCTCTCTCTCTCTCTCTCTCTCTCTCTCTCTCTCTCTCTCTCTCTCTCTCTCTCTCTCTCTCTCTCTCTCTCTCTCTCTCTCTCTCTCTCTCTCTCTCTCTCTCTCTCTCTCTCTCTCTCTCTCTCTCTCTCTCTCTCTCTCTCTCTCGCTCTCTCTCTCTCTCTCTCTCTCAAGTGAACATATATGATAATTATTTATTGACTCAATTATTTATTTATATTTCACCAAGATAAATATTATTTTGTACTATCTTTATATTTGTGCGAGTATCTGTTAAGTAGACATTTGCGTATTTTTTCAATACTCACGAGTATTTACGAGTATTTGTGGGTATTTATTTTGAAAAATAAATAAATTTTAAAGTTATTTTAATAATATTTTATATTTATTCTAATAATTTCTTTAAAAATAATAGTTTAAAAGTTTAAACTTAAATTATTCAAATTTTATACACAATTTTGTATTCATCAATTTAAAAACTAAATTTAATTGTTAAAATACTTCATTCTCATAAGTTTAAACAAATTTAATATGTGATTATGTAATTAAACATTAGCAGGTTTTCACAAGTAAAGATATTATAATACTTATATCTATCCGTTAATATTTGAGTTGTACTTGTTATCCGCGAATATTCATTTACAACATTTATTTTTTACTTGTGGTGGAATTTATTTGTGGATATCCGGTATGAATTTTTTTGACATCCTTAATTACGAATATCACATCAATTAAGTGATAGCATGTCATTAAATAATGTCAAAATTTAATAATTTACAAAAATTAAATTAACAATAGGAACAAAATTTCTTATTTTAAATATAGGAAGACTAAATGTCTCTTTTTTTAAAATAGAAAGATCAAATGATAAAGGGATAAAAATACAATTTAACCTAAATATTTTATTATACTATTTATTTTATTTTCTTTAATTTTTTTGGTAAGAATTTTCTTTTAGGTTTAGTATTGGGTGTGAAGTTGGTGCATTTATTATTCATACGCAGCATGGGCCCATGATAAAGAGTGTTTGGTGGTTCAACCCGCTGCAAGCCCTTCGTACCGTTGGTTTGGAGGTAACATTCGTCCTTGCATTTATTGTTATTATTTTTTGAAACCATTTATTATTTTTATTATTTGATTTTTTTTACTGTCAGTATAAATATTTTTACTCATGAACAAATTAGAATTTACTTTAAATATAATTGTTAAAATAGTTATTATTACAAAAATTCATAATCTTACCGTATTCTGTTATACATTTTAATTATTTTGAGATGGTGCTTAAATGTCTTTGTGTGTATTATTACAAGTCTCGTAAAATTAAAAAAATAATTGTGAGGGATAATCTCATTTTTAATGGACAATATCGTTTTTAACAAAGAAAAAAATAGTTGAAAAGATAAATTCCATTAACGATGATAGATTAAATTCTCAAAAAATTAGTTATTAACAAAGAAAAAATATGATTAGAAAGAAAATTCTATTAAAATTTATTTTGTTTTTTCTTCTAAAAATTTTTCCTAGGTCTCACAAGTCAGTAACAATCAAAAAATGTAGTTTGAAAATGTAACGACCTGCCATGATCCCTACACTTAGTGAAATTGCACTACTAATAGTTAACTAGGAGAAATATTAAAACTGGATAACTCATACATATAAGTATAAATAAGAAGAAAAATAACTAAGTTTCTATGTATAAAATATAACATCATATATGTACAGTCATTCCAAAATAATATCGTCCTAGTGCTGGTCAAGCACAGACAAAACCGTTACCCAAAATGGTAACTCTAACACGAGGACCAAACTCCTCATCTCGCAGCGGTCACATCAACCAGCTCTAACCTAACCCTGACATGCTTCCATACACAAGATGATCATTGCAGTCCATCAACATGGAAACAGAAGGGTAAGCTAGAGTTCAAAAAGCAACCATACAAGTACAGAATAACAATCTATAGTACCAATTCACCCAGTCAAGTCCCACAGGAACTTCCATCTCAATCATTCATCAATTCATCAAACATGAAGTAAAACACCATACACTTCATCATCATAGCAATCATGCAATACATGCAACTCATGATAGATATTAATGCATATCCATCATCTAATGCGTCGTCACGCATACACCTAGGAGATGTCCCTAACAACAGAGCAATATAAGTGACATCCCAATCCTACCGAAACCACCCCAACCGTTTTCATGCCCAGTGCGCCCGCTCGGTCACAGCTAAATAGGATATAAATCCTTACTCAGGTTTACTCGGATGATGTCACTTACACACTTGGAAGTTCGGTTCCACCGTCAAGTATAGCACAACTGGATACAGGCTTACCACGACCTTAACATGCATTACCAAGTCACTTGTGGAGTTCTTCCATCGACTATCTGCAAGGAACCACGCACCTTCCCCAATACTTGGTTAAAGGAATAACCCTCGACCTCATACTCCGCTCCAATACTAGCTAAGGACTTAGAGGAGACTCACCCAAACCAGTGGCCTACCTGAGCATCACTCTCACCCAAAATCAGTGGTCTATCTAAGCACCACTCTCATTTATATCAGTGGCCTATCCAAGCACTACTCTCAAGAGACTCTATGTGAGATTTTCTAATTCAAAAATATTTTCCTCTCCTCAAGTCCTAGGCTAGACACATGCCATAAGGCATCACATGCAATAATGCATCATTCATCATACATGGCAAATCCACCATCATGATCAATATCATTGTCATATGAACATATACACATGCCATATCATATTTAAACATTCATACATATCATCACTAAGCATACATATGAATCATACACCACCATACATCATATATTAGACATACATGATCAATTCTTCCACTTTAAACATGCATAAGCATCATTTCAAATCAATCATTCATAAACATATTCACACTCGGCGCAGCCTGAGCGCGACCGACCTAATCCCAACCCGAGAGTCCTAAAACTCATCCACGCATGGTGCTCTCAGCTTGCTCCCGACGTCCTTGAAACAGAGACTCATAAGAGTCTTCATGCCCGATGCACCCACCTGCGCCTGACGTGCTCCAAACAGAGACCATTCAGAGTCTCTCCACGCCTGGCGCATCAATCCTGCGCCTGACGCCATCTCATAAAATTCCTCACCTAACCATTATCTGATATCGCGCCCGACGTGGTTCCTCTCACGCCTAGTACGAACTCATCCAGAGACTTCCATTTCAATTCACGCTCAGCGCGACTAGCCTCGCGCCTGACGTGATTTTGAAATGGTTGCCTCTAATGAAGGCACGCCCGACGCCAAGAACTGCGCCCGACGCAAATTCAAACAGCCGCCTCCAAAACTTCAAAAAATTCTTCCAATACCTGAAAATCAACAAATCCAGCCACATGCAAACAAAGAAAACTCAATGCATAGACTCCATACAACTAAAAAAAAACTCAGATTCAACATGCACCCATCTGATGCATCAAAATCACTAAAAATCCCATTTTTCCCAAAACCCCGAAAATGAGAAGTTTCTCCAATCCAACCATGGATTCTCCAAATTCATGCATCAATTGAACCATAGAAATCCTTATATACTCCTCTCTCTAGAGTCAACTAAACTCTAAAATCTACTTACTACGTTACAATACCCCCCAACAAATAGGAATTTTCGTCCCCGAAAATAGGCTTACCTGCAAAGAGGATTGGATATCGTTCCTTGAACTGACTCTCCACCTCCTAGCTCGCCTCACCAATAGTTGTATCCCAAAAAACCTTCACCAAGATGGTGGACTTGTCCCGAAGCTCCTTCAACTTGTGATCAACCACAACTACCGGTCTCTTCTCATAGGTCAAGTTCTCTCTAACTTGCACCTCATCCAATTCCACCTCGTGACTCGGGTCTTTGATGTACTTCCTCAACTTAAACGTGAAATACATCATGTAGGTTGGACAGAACTGGAGGCAACGCCAACTGATAAGCCACCGAACCTACACGATGAAGGATTTGGTAAGGACCAACGAATCTCGGTGTGAGCTTCTTGGCCCTTACAACCCTTCTTACTCCAGTAGTGGGTGTCACCTTGAGAAACACGTGTTCTCCCTCCTCAAACTCTAGAGGTCTCCTCCTCTTATCAGCATATGACTTCTGTCGACTCTGGGTAGCTCTCAACCTCTCCTGAATCTGTCTCACCATCTTACTAATCTAAAGAACTAACTCCGGACCAATCACTACTGACTCACCCTCTTGAAACTAACACAATGGAGTCCTACATCTTCTGCCATACAAAGCCTCAAAAGGCGTCATACCAATACTAGAATGACAACTATTGTTGTAGGTAAACTCCACTAGTGGTAACACTTCCTCCCAGCTACCTAGATGATCCAACACACAAACTCTCAGGAGATCCTCAAGTGAATGAATTTTTATCTCCGACTGACTATCTGTTTATGGATGATAAGTGGAGCTCAACCTCAACCTTTGTCCCCAACTCTTGATGCAGAGTCTGGCAACACCTAGAAGTAAACCTTGGATCTCGATCAGAGATAATACTGGAAGGCACACCATGCAACTGTACTATCTCTCTGATATACAACTGTGCAATCCTCTCCAAGGACCACCTCTTGTTGACAGGAAGAAAGTGCACACACTTTGTCAACTTATCAATAATCACCCAGATAACGTCACTGTTCTTAGCTGTCCTAGGTAACCCAACTACAAAGTCCATAGTGACACTATCTCACTTCCACTCTGGAATCTCCATCAACTGTAAAACCCCTCCAGGCCTCTGATGCTCAATCCTCGCTTTTTGACGAGTCAGACATGCTATCACAAACTCTGCTATCTCCCTCTTCATACTAGGCCACCAGAAACTTTTCTTGATGTCGTGATACATCTTAGTCATACGGGATGTATGCTAAGGCGACTACTATGCCCCTCCTCCAGAACAACTCTCCTCAATTTTGAATCCTGAGGTACACAAATCTGACCTCTAAATCTGAGAATCCCATCAGCACCAAGCTCAAAACTAGCTGCCCTCTCGGTACCAAGCAATCCTAAAATCCTCAACAACTCTAGATCCTATAATTGCTTAGTTCCCACCTGCCTCAGGAACTCATTAGTTATGGTAATCATACCACAACTAATGTGATCTTGAACAACCTCCACCTCTAGTCTCAAATCTCTGAATTCCTCAATCAATTCCAACTCCCTAATCATCATAGCCGATATGTGAATGAATTTCCTACTCAATGCATCTACTACCACATTCGTCTTTCCAGGATGATACATCAACTAGAAGTCAAAGTCCTTTAGGAATTTCATCCACCTCCTCTGCCTCATATTCAACTCCTTATGATCAAACAGGTATTTCAAACTCTTGTGATCACTGAACACACTAAACTGCGCACCATACAGATAGTGCCTCCACGACTTCAAGGCAAACACCACAACTCAAGCTCCAAATCATGAGTGGGATAGTTCCTCTCATGGGTCTTAAGTTTCCTCGAAGCATATGTCACTACTCTCCCTCCCTGCATCAACACACAACCCAACCCCTAGTGAGAAACATTACAGAACACATCAAAATGTTCACTAGTGTCAGGTAACACCAAAATCGGAGAAGTAGTCAACCGTCTCTTCAATTTCTGAAAACTCCGCTCACAAGCCTCCGTCCAAATGTAAGGCTAATCCATTCGGGTCATTTGAGTCAAAGGCATTACTATTCGAGAAAAACCCTCTATGAATCTCCGATAGTAGCCCCCTAACCCAACAAAACTCCTAATGTTCGTAACAGTCCTTAGACGCTCCCACTGAATCATAGCCTCTACCTTGGCCAAATCCACTGCAATCCCTTCTGCCAATATCACACGCCCCAAAAATTTCACCTCAGACAACCAAAACTCACACTTGGACAGTTTGGCATACAACTGCCTCTCTCTCATCACCACTAAAACCAACCTCAAATGCTCACGATGATCTTCCAAAGATCTAGAATATACCAATATATCATCAATGAAGACCACCACAAATCTATCCAAGAATGACCTAAAAATCGTGTTCATATAATCCATGAACATCACCGGAGCATTAGTGACACCGAAAGGCATCACTACATACTCATAGTGACCATACCTAGTCCTGAAAGCAGTCTTTGGTATATCACTCTCCTTCACCTTGATCTGATGATATACGGATCTCAAATCAATCTTCGATAACACTGAAACTCCCCTTAGTTGATCCATAAAATCATCAATCCTTGGAAGTGAATACTTATTCTTTATCGTCAACTTATTCAGTTGCCAATAATCTACACACAAACGAGCCCCTCCATCCTTCTTCTTCACTAACAATACCGGGACACCCCAAGGAGAAAAACTAGGCCTCACCATTTGTTTCTCCAACAAATCCTCAATTTATTTCTTTAGCTCTACCAACTTAGCTGGAGCCATCCTATAAGGAGCCACTGATACCTGTCTTGCACCTGATACCATATCAATACTGAACTCTATATCATGCATAGGTGGCAATCCCGTCATATCATCTGGGAACACCTCAGGAAACTCATTAACAATCTCAATCCTAGTGATGGCCCTCTCCGTCTCAACACTTAAAGCGCCAAAAAACATGAAGCACCCACCCCCGTCTCTCATCAACTGCTTAGCCTGACCCGCTGACAACAACACCTCATCCTCCAACTGAGGAAATACCAACTCTCTCCGAGTATAATCTATAAGGCTATGATGGGCAGATAACCAATCCATCCCTAAGATTATGTCGATATCCATCATGAGTAACACAATCAAGTTCACTCGGAACCTCCTACCAAACACCTCTATCGGGCATCTCACACACATCTCCGACGTCACCACAAAAACTGAAGGCAGAGTAGACACAAACAAATTAACATGCAATGTAGATACCGATAAACCAAATCTCCTCACACAATCAATAGAAATAAAAGAATGTGTGGCACTAGAATCAAACAAGAATAAAACATCCTCACCTACTGCCTTCCCCTTCCCCTTCACCAAATCTGATGAAGTGGAAGCCTCTATACCTAGGGATGGCAAAAATACCCGTACCCGCGGGTAAAATCTGCTATAGATAATAAATGGATTGGCTAATTGGGTACCTGCGAATAATGGGGACAGATAATTTTTTACCCGTTTATAAACGGGGCGGGGGTGGGTATGATGATATCCATACCCGCAGGCACCCGTTTAATAATATTTCTTAAATATCCTAATTATCCCTGTACCACATAACCCTAAAACTACACTCTCTCATCTTTTTTTCTTACAAAAGTGAGGTTGATGAAGTTACCAACATGTGTTAAGCATGTTATAGAATTATGTTGGATGTAATTTGATTAATTTTCTATCTTTGATTGGACCAATAAAATTTATGTATTTTAAGTTGTTTACTTTTGTTTGGAATTATGAGATTGAATTATTGTAGCTTTATGATGAGACTTTAACTTACTTGTGAGATTGATGTATTTTAAGTTATTGATTATCTTGCATTTTTATTATTATTTCAACAAAATTAACGTTAAATACAAGTTCAAAATTAATATTGAATTTTTATTTTTAATATTTTAATTACATTAAATATAAACTTAAAATTATTTGTAATATAATTTTTTTTAATTTCTTAAAAAATTTATAAATATCCATGGATATCTGCGAGTATTCAAGAAATTCATGGATACCCGCTTAATGGATACCCACGTGGATATGGGGTGGGTATGGGGCCAATTTTCATTTAGCGGGGCGGGGGCGGGTTTACTATTACCCGCCCCCATGGGGCCCCATTTCCATCCCTATCTACACTTGACAAGGCAAACACTCTCCCCACAATTGTAGGCTTGGGTGGCCTCGGGGAACTCTCAGATGGAATCGATAACATTTGTCAATCTCTGGAAAGGTGGCCTGACCTGCCACACCTGAAACAAACATTCTCCAGATGGGAACAATCCCTGACCATGTAGGCTCCTCCACATCTATAACACGCACTGACTGTGCTCCACCCTGAGGAGTAGTAGGACGAGGTCCCCTACTATCAACACCTCTCTAGGACTGAATAGGCCTATCATAGGGTCCCCTCTGCTGACCTCCCCTCTTGGATCCTGATGATCCCTTCTAAACTCTAGCAGCCTTGCTACCTCCGCCACCACCCTCTAGTCTCTCAACCGTCTTTGCCTTCTCAACCAAGGTAAGAAACTCCACAATGGACATAGGGATAATGACCCTTTTCAGCTCATGTCTAACTCCTCTGCAAACTTCCTACATCTCCAAGCGTCAGATATGGTTTGAGAGTAGAAACGAGCCAGATGCTCAAATCTCATCGCATACTTTGACACAGACATGCTCCCATGCTGCAGTCTCATGAACTCAACCTCTTTAGCGTATCTAACGCTATCTGAAAAATACTTCTCTAAAAAGACTCTCATGAAGCAATCCCGATCAATAACTACACCCTTACTCTCTAACATCTGCCTGGTGCCTCTTCATTAGTACTCAGCCTCGCCTGCCAACATATACACTACATAGGCCAACTTCCTCTCCTCAAAAGATCCCAAAATGCTAACGATCTTCTCCATCTTACGCAACCAATGATCTACCACATCAGGATCTGCATCCTCCTTGAACTGAGGAGGCTAACATCTCCTGAACTTTGCCAAATCTCTCTCATCCTAAGAGACCACTGGTCTAGCTTCCTTAGCCGTAGCTCTACTCGCCTCCATCTTAGCAAAGTGAGCACTCTGCTGCTGCATCGCCATGGCCATCATCTCCATGGCCCTAGCGATCTGGTCATACTAAGGCCTCACCATACTGAAAGAATCCAAACATTCTTTTAGTAACAATGTACCACCACAAATCACCAAAACTAACACATATCAGAGATATGACACAACAAAAACCTAGAAGGATCACTCCCCACAGAGTACCCAAAAGACTCGACTGGCTCTAATACCATAAAAGTGTAACAACCCGCTATGATCCTTACACTTAGTGGAATCGCACTACTAATAGTTAACTAGGAGAAATATTAAAATTGGATAACTCATACATACAAGTATAAATAAGAAGAAAAATAACTAAGTTTCTATGTACAAAATATAACATCATATATGTACAGTCATCCCAAAATAATATCGTCCTAGTGCCTGTCAAACACAGACAATACCGTTACTCAAAATGGTAACTCTAACACGAGGACCAAACTCTCCGTCCTGCAACGGTCACATCAACCAGCTCCAGCCTAACCCTGACCTGCTTGCATACACAGTATAATCATCGTAGTCTATCAACATGGAAACATAAGGGTAAGCTAGAGTTCAAAAAATAACCATACAAGTACAAAATAACAATCTATACTACCAATTCACCCAGTCAAGTCCCACAGGAACTTCCATCTCAATCATTCATCAATTCATCAAACATGAAGTAAAACACCATACACTTCATAATCATAGCAATCATGCAATACATGCAACTCATGACAGATATCAATGCATATCCATCATCTAATGCGTCGTCACGCATACACCTAAGAGATCTCCCTAACAATAGAGCAATATAAGTGACATCCCAATCCTACCGAAACCACCCAACCGTTTTCGCGCACCGACTATCCGCAAGGAACCACACACTTTCCCCATTACTTGGTTAAGGGAATAACCCTCGACCTCATACTCCGCTCCAACACTAGCTAAGGACTTAGAGGAGACTCACCCAAACCAGTGACCTACTTGAGCACCACTCTCACCCAAAACCAATGGCCTATCTAAGCACCACTCTCATTTATATCAGTGGGCTATCCAAGAACCACTCTCAAGAGACTTTATGTGAGCTTTTCCACTTCGAAAATGTTTCCCTCTCCTCAATTCCTAGGCTAGACACATGCCATAAGGCATCACATGCAATAATGCATCATTCTTCATACATGGTCAATCCACCATCATGATCAATATCATTCTCATATGAACATATACACCTTCCATATATCATATTTAAACATTCATACATATCATCGCTAAGCATACATATGAATCATATACCACCATATTAGTAGGCGCAACCCACTTATCCCAGCTTGGGCCTTGGCTTGTTATACAACAAATTAATTGTCTGTTTATAGATCAACTCAACCATAAATTTTTCAACATGATTGTCTGCTTAAATCAACTAATAAACCTTGAGATAATTATTAAAATCATATAGTTTCTACCTATTGTGAACGTAAATTATTTTACTGAATCATTTTTCCTTGACTCATTACTCAATAAATTATAAATTATAATAAATAAAATTTTTAAGATAATTATTATAAAAAAAATAAAGTTATCATGCATAATAATTATTTTTTAATTTTTTGATGGGTTGGTGGGTTGGCCCGTATGACCCACCAACCCGTGGTGGGCCGGGCCGGGTCAGAAAAATTTTGAGAAAATCAAAAGTGGGTCGGGTTGGGTTGACCCATTTTTAAAGTGGGTCAAGGTGGGCTGGCCTGACCCGTTTTGACAGTTGTACGCTTACTTTGAGAGATACGTTAGATTATTTCCATTTTTGTTTAGGATCAAATGCAAATTATTTATATTTTAAAATTTTGTAAATATACATCTTTTCTTTCAAGTCTAAATTAATTATATATATATATAGTGAGGTGCTTGAACTATTTTTTTTTTAAAGATGTCAAACTATATATATATATATATATATATATATACTAAAAAGAATAGCAATCTAATACACAACATATTTGTCAATATTAAGAGAAAAAAGAATATACTAATATGATTAGAAAACGAGGCCGAAATATCAATGTTTCTCAGTACATAGAAGTATTGCCATTGTTTTTGTACCTTGAAAATACATATGGCAATTATTTATAAAATATGATTAAGGTATCTTTCGAATATTGAGAAACGGATTCTTCTTCAAAGCTGCCAACAAAACAAATTCCTCCTTGCATACTTCCATTGTCTTTAATAGAGTCGTGTCTGATCAATTACAAGTATGATAATTTAATTTGAACACACGAATATATTCGTATAATCTTAATTTAATTTTAAAAGGAAAATTGTATTTTGATTGGAGTTGGAGTCATCTTTGGATTTTCTCCATATATTTTGTATAGATGAAGGGTCAAGTTCGTAAATCCACGTTTAGCTCTCGCCTTGAACTTGTATTGCACAATTTATATATACATATATTTTATACTTGCTAAAAGTATAAGTTAAAAAATTAATCATTATAATAATTAAATCATTTAAATTATACTAATATTTAAATAATAAAACTAAAATTATATAATTTATTAATTTTATGTATTATTTAAATTAAAGTATAGTTAATAACTTATTGTATAGCTTCCTTAAAGTTATACACAAATAAATAAATTACATTTTTTTAAAATAAGATGAAAATGTTCTCCCAGATTTTCAATAATTTATTTTGATTCAAATTCAATACCACTAATTAAGTTAAAACTGTGATACTCTTTTATCCTAAAAACGTTTTTATATAATATACTAGTAAAATAACATTCATTAGTCACATGTGAGGTAAAAGGACTCACATATTTTTTCACGGGATAAAATTTCATTTACTTTAATAATAAAAAGTACTCTAAAAAATGAATAATATAGTACAAACTGTCTTTATAAGTTCTCAAAAGAAATGAAAATAAAATTGATAGAATAAAGAAACTCTAAATCTAAAATAAGGTTCTCAAAAAGAAACATAAATGAAGGAACATAAACTATAAAAAATGAATAATC